TAATAGAATAATTATTCAAGTGGATTAGGTGAAGTTCGGGTTGAGTCGGTCGGGTTCCGGGTTTGGGTTAATCGGGTTGCAGGACAGTCGGGTTGTGGGTTAGTCGAGTTGCGAGTCGGGCGAGTTACGGGTTATTGACTTTTAGTCAATTCGGGTTGCGGTCGAGTTGCGAATTGGGTTGATCGGACGGGTTAGTCGGGTCGGGTTCTATTTTTGTACCCATGGATCTACGGTTAAATCGAAGGACAACGAAAAAACTAATAGATATAGATGGTGACAGCTCAAATTGACGGCTTCCTGCCATCTCCTGCCTTTCCTTTTATTACCACCCACTCCTTCTCCGCTATGTTAAAAGGAAGAAAAGAATTATGATAAGACGAAGAGGGTCAACTACTAAAATGAGTAACGCAAACATAGATCACTGAACTTTGAGTTATTCGTCAACTTACCTCTGTGAAGTTGGAAATGAGAATTGACTATTACAAACCAAAGAAATATGTCTTCAATAAGCTCTATAGTAGAGGAAGTAGAGGGATTAAGATGGTTGACTATGCATATGCAGTGGTAAAGGATTATAGAGCAATCGGCTTGACCCGGTGAATCAAATATGAGATGAAATGGGTGTTCAATTTGACGATAATTAGAAATAGATTCGTGCTGATTTTTATTACTCACCTTCCTTCTCCTACACAATCCATTGCTCTATGAACAGTGGGTCAAAGAAAAAAAAGTAAATAAATAATGGCGTAAATAGTTGGCAACCACTGGCGGATCCAGGGGTGGCCACCTCGGGCCCCGGCCCAGCCCTCCTCTGGATTCGTAGTTAGTATAGTCTTTATGAAATTTTCGATTTTAGATTGACCCAGTGTTATTTTATGATAAGATTGGGCTTAACTAGAAAAATTATCAAATTGAACATATTCAAATCACTACTCTAAATTTAGCCTAGAAATTTTAGCCCCAAAGATTATGCATCTAAAAAAACAAAGAAGCCTAAAATTCTAAAAAGTTTAAAACGTAAAAGACTAAAAGAAATATGAGGTTTGTTCCCTTGAAAATTTACCAGAGCAGCTGGTGTGTAGGGATGGACATACAATGCAAATTGATTAGTCGATTGAGATATCTAGTGTTGATGTTGCTCGTTTCAACAACTACTACGAAGAGAACCTTTTCAACAATGAAACATGGGAGAAATGATTTGCTCAACAAAATGAAAGGTGAATTTCTCACCAATTGCTCAAGTATTTTTATTTGAAACAGTGTATACTATTAGTATGGATGTAGACTCCTTGATGCATTCTCTAAATTAAAATACAGTCGTATACAATTTATATTGCAAAAAACTATAGGATTTTGCTACGGTGACATGCATGTCACCGTGACATGGACTTTTCGGTCGACCTAATCCAACATGCGGTCGACCGAATGGACTAATTCATGTATGTGGGGTTCCGAGACGCGGTCGACCTCTTACATAATACGGCGACCGCTTTGGTGGTCTAACAGAATGAAAGGTCGACCCAAATATCTCATAGGCCGACCCTTGTGCACCTAACAGGTCGACCGCATTCACACCGTATCCGTATTGGATATGGATTCCAACACCAGAAAGGTTCCACAATTGGACAAGGAAACGAATTGGGTCGACCCATTGACGTCCTAAATCTCTATAAATACGAATATAAGTCCCCTTCAACGCCTCCAAGTCTGAATTAGATTTTTTTCCGATTAAGAGCCTTTGTGAAGAAAATCGTTCGCGGTTGCTGTTGTACGCGTTGGAAGTGGTCGACCAGGTCTAAGGTGAGGTCGACCTAATGTACCATTCGTCGTCTTCTTTTCTAATGCGTGATTTCTACCGGCTAATTTGATATATTGTTGGGTGCAGAATTCCATTCGGTCGACCGTGACGTCAACCAGGTCGACCTGACGAGACAATTCTGCGTATTTGAATTTAGGCCACAACACTTGGATTTCTGTACTTGCGAGGTAACCCAATTGGTCGACCTAATGGGTTTCAAGGTCGACCGTTCCTGTTTTTTTGGTTATTCAACCTGAATGTCGACTTTGGCTTTGATTGTATGACTAGGTTGTGCTTGAAAAGGTCGACCGCACCAGATATCTGGTCGACCTATCCTTTTTTTGGTTTAATTTTGAACTTACTTTTTGTTGTTAATTGTTATTTTCCTGCTGGATAGGTCGACCTAGGAATAACATAGGTCGACCTTAATGGTTGTGGTAGTCACTATTAGTCTTCCAGGTCGACCTAATACTTTGTCAGGTCGACCATGTCTTTGTTTTTTGGTCAATTGTAGAAATTTGTAGTTGAATTATGATTTAAATTTTTCTTGAAATTGTTTAGACAATGACGCATGATGAGAAACTGCATCAAGAATTGGGTGAAATCATGAAATTGTTGAAAGCCACACAAGAGAAGCTGGTGGTGTGTCAAACACAAGTCAATGACTTTCAGAAGTCCATGTGTGATAGAGTGGAGCAATTGTCAGTTCGACTGACAGATATGACTGGGATGATGCATGACGGGTTTGAGAGGCTAGAAGGTGCTATCAAAGATATAAGTGCAGAACGAATGGAGAATGGCATAAGAAATGGTAAAGGAAAGAAATTTGACTTTGGTAAAGAGGAAGAAGACCATGATGACTCTGAAAATTGCTACCAGAGCATAGACGATTTATTGAAAGAGCACATTTTAAAGGTATCCAAGTATATTCATATGTGATTGAAGATATTAGTATTACTATCATTAGTGCTAATTTGTTTTTTTTATATGTTTGACAGAGTGAAACAACGAATGGCAGCAAGGGTTCCTCTCCTAAGTACAAGAGACTGCGATATGAAAGTGACTCCTACACCACTCCACAGAAGGATCATTTTGTAAGAAAAGGATTATTTAGTGATGATAGCGATGAAGATGAATCTAAGAGTCCTTTCGAAAAGCACGGGGTAAGTTTGCGTTACATATTCATCTATAATGTGTGTTTGTGTTCATATGTTACTTTAATTTTAACTATGATTTGTAGGTCATGAAAGTGGAGGGTCTAGAAGGATTCACCAAAAATTTTCAAAATCCAGTTGAAGACTTGTATTATGTTGTTACTAAAGAGAAGGCTGGGGACAAGAATTGGGACAAGTAAGACGTTTTTTAGTACGTGTGGTCGACCGGATCGGTCATGAGGTCGACCGCTTTTCCAATAAGGTCGACCGTGACTGTGAACAGGTCGACCTGTACGTTGCAAATCACAATTGACATTTCTGTTATTTTGATTTTTGCAGTTTGACCGTTGTGGACTTTTTTTCTGAAAACGTGCAACGACATTATTTGAGTTCGGTCATTAGCGAGAATAGCTGGGTTTGCTCATCAGTAAGTACTATACTACTACGACTTTCGTATGAATTGTGCACTATTTATGTTACGATTTATGCTGATTTTGTGTTTGATTGTTGGATGGTAGGTAGTGGATTTGTGTGCAAGGGCACTAACAATGTCTGAAAAACATGATGTGAAAGAACCAAATGTGTGGTATTTGCCAAATATGTTTTCGGTAAGAGCTGTAATGTCAAATTATTTGTCATAACCTAGTTATTTATATTGTACCAAGTCAATTCATCTCAACTAAAACATGGTGCAGAAAATGGTACGCGCTAACATGAAGACCAGACAAATTCGTAACAAGTTGATGAATGATGGCGTGGTCTTTATGCCGAATGTCAGTGCATGCCAGAAGGTTAGTCTAGTCAATGTCCCTCTATCATTAAATTTCGAAAGTGAATTTGTTTGTATTCGTTGTTTATAACATATAGTGAGTATTTCGTTGCTAGATATTTATGCCAGTTCTTGACGATGAAGCACGTCATTGGTTTCTGTATCTCGTCAATGTCCAGCAAAAAACTGCATTTTTGCTTGACAGTCTACCTTCAACTAGTGAGGCGAATCGTAGGCGTAAATCAGCACTATGCAAGAAATTGGTAAGTGTTTCCTATAATTTTCTGACTGTTAAGCGTCACGTATTATGCTAGAAACTTAAAATATTCATTATTTGTGTGTAGTTGTCCAATTTGGATGATATTTTCAAACCGGAGCGCATGAGCAATGTAGGAGTACCAAATTTTGGAGATTTCAATTTTGATGAGCTACGAGTTCAACGGCAAAGGAATAGTACTGAGTGTGGTGTGCACGTCATGCAGTGGATGCGCTATGGATCCAAGGATCTTGATAGAGTGGTGAGTATATCGTCAAACAAAGAACTTGTTTAATTTACACTTTTTTTAGTTGTAACGAAATCTTACATGGCATAATGCAGATAGGAGAAGAACACAAATTACCGGCTCGAAAGGAGATTCTATTGTATCTGGCTACACATTTTGAAAACCTTGCACGAGAAAATCTTTTCAAGCATGTAGTAGATGAATGCATGGAACGAGGCAAAGAGAGACAGAGTTCAAACAAAAAAGCAAAGAAATGAAGTCGTTAAGTTACAATGTTGCATTATTTGGACCATACATTGAATTTGTATTTGCGAGATCGTTTCATTTTGGATTTTGAATGTTTATCGTTTATTAGATTTGTTATACAATTATGGATGTGACTGAATTTACGATTTCAATCGTCTAGAACAAGTGGTCGACCACATACTCAAAGCGGGCATACCCAAAGGAAGAGCACAGGTCGACCTCGTGACGCTTAAGGTCGACCTATGATACCGTATCAAAGTCAAAAACCATGTAGAATATGGATGGAATCTCGTCAGTTTGGCCTTAATAAAATACGGTCGACCATTTGTGTCAAGAGGTCGACCTGTTTCACATTTACCCAAGACGGTCGACCATTTGTGCAAAGAGGTCAACCTTAATGAATCATGTCCTTGTACAATTAGGATTTTGTGTACTTGTCCTTGTCGAATTATGATTTTATATATCTTTCACCAATTGGATAAGGAATTCGTCTACATTATCTATAAATAGATGGGAGTCTGAAGACTTTAATCGTACTTCGATTTATGCAATTTGTTGGAGTGAAGTTGTAATCTCATCGCTCTTATAGTGATCGGGTGTTGGTGGCGGTTTATTTTTATTCCGGTAGACCGTAACAATAAGTGGTCGACCTCTTTGCTAAGGTATGTCTCGTATGTGCTTGTTAATGCTTGTATGTGGTTAAATTTTCCCACCATCCGGTCGACCACCTCCACCATCCGGTCGACCGTACTTTTGTAATTATATGATTAGGTCGACCTTTCAGTAAATTCTGGTCGACCGCATGTTTGTTATTTAGTAATAAAGTCGACCGTACAGTTCATTCAGGTCGACCTGACGAGAGCTAATTGTGTATGTTTTTTACATTAAATCGTTTCAGGATGGATAACAGAGATGATACAGATGATAGAGATGATGATGAGGTTAACTTTGATGAGGAACCTAAGGATGCTCAAGAAGGAGCTATGGATAATTCAGATGATACAGATAATACGGATGATGAAGTGGTTGGGGATGATAATGAAACCGAGGGTGCTGAAGAAGAATTTATGGATGATGAAGAAGCTACTGAATATGAACAACAAATTCCTTCCATGGAGTTCCAAACATTAGAAGATGCAGAGAAATTTTACGATTCCTATGCTAAAGCGAAAGGATTTAGCGTTCGACGTAGAGATCTTCGGAGGAATCGTCGAGGAGTAGCAATTGGGAGGACAATGGTATGTTCGAGAGAGGGGACTAGAGATAAGATGCATATAGATAAAGAAGGTCGGACTCGACAACATCGTAAGATGACAAGACATTATTGCAAGGCATCGTTTACTGTACGCTTTGATCGGAATAAGAAAATGTGGGTTGTTTCTAAGTTTGAGAGGAAGCACTCACATCGTTGCTGCAATGAAGAAGAAACTCAATTCCTTCGGTCTCATCGAAATGTGAGTGAAGGAGACAAGGCTCTGTGACTCGCTATGACACAACACCTAACAAAGGCCAAGTGTAACCAATGAAAGGGACTGCAGTATAGTGGCTCAAGTTATAAATATCGAATCCACGGGTCTCTAGAGTTTATTATTTAGCAAATCAGATTAAGATGAAAGAACTAAAACTACTCTAGCAAACTACAGTTAAAGTTAATCTAATTACAGGTTGGGAACTCACTTAGGTATGATTTCCCCTAGCCACTAGCCAGATTAACGATTGATGATCTCTAACTTGTTTCACTTTCATTCACAATGCGGAGAATCCTTGACTAGACCTTGAGTCTCGACTAAAGGAACAAGGCCCTCTTGAGTCAATTGCCTAGAGGGACGTATCCTTCTCTAGAACAACTGATCATGGCGTTCTGAACTAGACTCCCTCTATCGAAATAGGTTCTCAATCGATACAAAGCAGTGAATCAACCCTTGACTAAAGCAATCGATCCACTACTATCAATCTATGGTGCTCTATTGACCTAATCAGGTATTCCCTCTCATAGGATCAAAGCAGAATCAATAATCTCGACTAAAGCAGAATTGAATCATGAAAACATGCATAGATTGAATATGAACTCAAGATTATCAAGGCAGAGTACTCATACAATCATCCAATCAAACAAACATAGCTAGGGTTCCTCAAAACCTAAGTGAAGGGAAGTTACTCCATAGAGAAGAGAGAGACTGCAGTAAGAATCTTCAGGTGATCATTCTTCAAGTCCGGGCTTGTTCCTCGAGCTTCCAAGGCGAAGAAATCCTCCAACTCCACTCCAAGAATGCCCTCAAATCGCCCTCTCTCTCTTTGGTTCGTCCCTTGGGTGTTTGGGATCCAAAACCCAGCTCTCCCCTTTCCTTTTGGCTGAAAATCTGCTTAAAAGGGCATTAGTGGCCAAAGCACGGTCGACGGCACGGCCGTGCTTTGCCTGACTCCGCCCGTGCCTCGACCAGGGCTTAATTACACGGCCAGCAAGTGGGTTAAACACGGCCGTGCTTCGCAATGTACACGGTCGTGCTTCGACTGAACACGGCCGTGCTTCGGTGCCCGTGTTTGCAGCTGAATTGGCCAAACTGAATTTGCTCTCGGCATAAAAAGCACGGCCAGCAGTACACGGCCGTGTAATGCCTTAGGCTGCCCGTGTTTTGGCTCCAGCTCACCGAAATGACTTCCGAATGCCCCGAAACTCGTGCTTAGCCTTCCCTTTAACGCCTGAGACCTGAAACATGACAAAATAGCACAACCCGGCGTAAAATGGGCCAAAACACACGACTATACTCCTCAAACGGATAAGAACTAGGGGCGAAAACATGTGCATTTACATCGTTATCAAATTCCCCCACACTTAACCGTTTGCTTGTCCCCAAGCAAACCTAACTCAAACCAATGCAACTCTCCAGACCTCTATAGCAACAAACAACCCAGATTGTAGGTAGAGGACTTCCTAGATCATTTAGCAGCTTACGAGGTCAACCGACGCACAAGTCATCTCATAGCTTCTTCGGCGAGAACACTAGTATCGAGTCGGCAACATGGCAAATAGTGAACAGAGGACAAATGAATTGTGGATGAAGAGATTCTCAAAAACAAAAGATCATGGACTCACATTTTTCAAGGTGCTCTATATTCTTTGAAGATGGTTGGAACCCCTTTTCTTTCTGTTTTGCTTGTTTTCTGTGATTTTTTTTTTCAAGGGTCCCAACCGGCTCTTACCGGCCATGCCAGGAGAGGATGTCTCGAGCCTCGTGCGGGGGAAAGACATGTAAGGGGGCTGGAGGTAGTAGGTGGAAATTGGGAACAGATTCCCATCTCCCCTTACACACTTTCGCCCTATTCGCACAGGAGACGTTATTTTGAAGCACATTTTCGAGCACCTGTTAAACTTAAAACATGATACAAGAGTCCCTGACAGGTAGAGAATCCACAACACCACACAATTCAAGGGTCATAAGATCACTAATTCACTCAATCAACCAACTCAATATGAAGAAGAAATGAGACTTCTTAAATGCATCAACATCCTCCATAGTGCTACACTACCTCCCTAGGTTGCATATTACTGTAAAGACTGTCAATTCAAAGCATACTGAGCAGGCAATTGCAAGGAACACGTACTTGGAGCCCTCAAATTTAAAAATTTGGACAGTGGACTAGGCTCCAAGCACACAAACAGCCAAACATTCACCCGCATACATAATCGAACATCCCCCCACACTTAAGCACGACATTGTCCTCAATGGAGGAAAGATAAGGAGGGTAGAACGAAGTTACCAGATCAAGGGTGAATGATGATGAACGGGTCAGGCGGTGCCATCCAGAAAGAGAGAGTAATCAGAACACAAACACCACACAAAATCTCACAAAGGTTGAGTTATTGACTCTAAAATCAAATAGCAAACTGACTCAACCGAGGAGAAATAGAGACAGAAATGCAAACCGACTGGTTGGGTTGCCTCCCAACAAGCGCTTCTTTCACGTCGTGAGCCGGACGATGGCTCCTAAGTTTCGGTCCATGCTAGAACCTCCTTGAAGTTGAGGTTCTCGTCGATGAGGTGGAGTCTCAAGTCATGAGCATGTGGTGTGGCAGGTGATGAAGGCTCATGTACTTGATGCAGATGAAGTCTCCACCCTCGAGACCTCTCCTTCTCTTCTCTCGTCTCATTGCCCCAAACCAGATATGACAGTATCGATTGGCCACCATCGCGTCCACCAAGAGGGACCGATGTCGATGTGGCCTTGGTCTAGCAAAGAGACACTGCAAATGGGTCCTTGCTAAGCAGTTCCTCGAAGTTTGGTGGGGATATCACATGTAACTCATGGCCGGTGCACGCCTCTTCCACCTTAACTCCGTCCTCAGCCTGGACGCCAATTGCTTCTTCAACCCCCCTTTCTTCTTCATGTGGTATCACCCCTGGGAAATGATCAAGAACTTCTCCAGCTTCACTTTCGCCATCCTCCACAACTTCTTTCTGCACCCTTTGTTGCTCTTCTTCTTCTAGCACGGATTGGAGAGCAAGTTGCCAAGCAATTTCTTTCATGAGATCTTCTTGCATCTCCGAACTCATGCCCGCCTCTTCAAAGCGCAGTTTGGGGTGTGGGAAGGTGTGGTCGGCTACGACATGACACTCCTGATCATGATCATCACGGGAGCTCTCCGTGAAAACTTCTGTGTGTTCCATAATGTCCTTGTAGCCTTCTTCTTCCTCCTCCTCTTCTTGTATGGTAGCAGAAGGGTGATCTGGAGCAGGCTGTGCCCAAGATCGCTCAAGATCATCGACGCTCTTCTTAAGGCTCAGGAGGATCTCCTCTGTTTCACGATAGGCCTGGACACAATGATCCATCCTGGAGCATGTTCTATCACAGTCTCGAGCAAACTGCTCCATGAGAAGTCTCAATTCATAGTGTGTATCTGGCTGTGGAGTGTAGCATGGCTCTGCAGAATGGCCCGTGAAGGCCGCCATGGGTAACTCCAGCTCCAATGGCCCCTCTGGTTGTGGGAGAAATTCTTCTTGGTAATGAGGTTGTTCTTGATATGCCCAGGGGTCCGGTTGTTCTCCGTAGTAAGGGGGTTGGTACTGGAACCCGAATCCATAGTCTTCTCCGCCTTGATTGCTCCACGGAGTCTCGGGGTAATACCACCCAGATGGTGGTGGATACCCCCAATGATTGGAGAAGCCATTAGGATCCATGATTCAGATCTGCACCAACAAAAACAAAAACACCCAAGTGAAAAGCAAAGGTGGAAAAGAAAAGAAACAAAAAACGCTAAAGTAACAAACTTCTGCCTTTCCTAATACTCTAGAAAGTCCCCGGCAACGGCGCCAAAAACTTGACTCGCTATGACACAACACCTAACAAAGGCCAAGTGTAACCAATGAAAGGGACTGCAGTATAGTGGCTCAAGTGATAAATATCGAATCCACGGATCTCTAGAGTTACTATTACTCAGCTTCAGTTTATTATTTAGCAAATCAGATTAAGATGAAAGAACTAAAACTACTCTAGCAAACTACAGTTAAAGTTAATCTAATTACAGGTTGGGAACTCACTTAGGTATGATTCCCCCTAGCCACTAGCCAGATTAACGATTGATGATCTCTAACCTGTTTCACTTTCATTCACAATGCGGAGAATCCTTGACTAGACCTTGAGTCTCGACTAAAGGAACAAGGCCCTCTTGAGTCAATTGCCTAGAGGGACGTATCCTTCTCTAGAACAACTGATCAAGGCGTTCTGAACTAGACTCCCTCTATCGAAAGAGGTTCTCAATCGATACAAAGCAGTGAATCAACCCTTGACTAAAGCAATCGATCCACTACTATCAATCTATGGTGCTCTATTGACCTAATCAGGTATTCCCTCTCATAGGATCAAAGCAGAATCAATAATCTCGACTAAAGCAGAATTGAATCATGAAAACATGCATAGATTGAATATGAACTCAAGATTATCAAGTCAGAGTACTCATACAATCATCCAATCAAACAAACATAGCTAGGGTTCCTCAAAACCTAAGTGAAGGGAAGTTACTCCATAGAGAAGAGAGAGACTGCAGTAAGAATCTTCAGATGATCAGTCTTCAAGTCCGGGCTTGTTCCTCGAGCTTCCAAGGCGAAGAAATCCTCCAACTCCACTCCAAGAATGCCCTCAAATCGCCCTCTCTCTCTTTGGTTCGTCCCTTGGGTGTTTGGGATCCAAAACCCAGCTCTCCCCTTTCCTTTTGGCTGAAAATCTGCTTAAAAGGGCATTAGTGGCCAAAGCACGGTCGACGGCACGGCCGTGCTTTGCCTGACTCCGCCCGTGCCTCGGCCAGGGCTTAATTACACGGCCAGCAAGTGGGTTAAACACGGCCGTGCTTCGCAATGTACACGGCCGTGCTTCGACTGAACACGGCCGTGCTTCGGTGCCCGTGTTTGCAGCTGAATTGGCCAAACTGAATTTGCTCTCGGCATAAAAAGCACGGCCAGCAGTACACGGCCGTGTAATGCCTTAGGCTGCCCGTGTTTTGGCTCCAGCTCACCGAAATGACTTCCGAATGCCCCGAAACTCGTGCTTAGCCTTCCCTTTAACGCCTGGGACCTGAAACATGACAAAATAGCACAACCCGGCGTAAAATGGGCCAAAACACACGACTATACTCCTCAAACGGATAAGAACTAGGGGCGCAAACATGTGCATTTACATCGTTATCACTCTGGCGATAGGGATGCGACAGTCAGGAATAAAACAACGCAACATTGTTCAGTTCATGAAGAATAAAGTTGGAGGATATGAGAATCTGGGGTACACTCCAAAGGATTTGGACAATGCTGTTCAGCAATCCCGAACAGTTGACGACGATCTAATAGGAGATGTTAACCGAACATTGGGTTACTTGCAAAGTAAACATACCTCTGATGCAGGCAGCTTCTTCAAGTACACAACCAACGATGAAGGTGAATTAGGCAATCTCTTCTGGTCGGACTCCACATCTAGAGCAGATTACCATTTTTTGGGGATGTCTTGGCGTTCGATGCATGCTACAAGCGCAACAAGTACAATCGACCATTTGTTATGATGGTTGGTGTAAATCACCACCACCGTAACATCATATATGGTTTTGCCCAGTTGGATAACGAGACAATCCCCAACTATGTTTGGTTGTTGAATACTTTTCTGGAGTGTATGAACTCTAAGATGCCCACTTCAGTGATCACAGACGGAGACAAGTCTATGCGTGGTGCCATTGCTACTGTTCTGGTTGGAGTGCCTCACCGTCTTTGTATTTGGCATATTGAGACAAATGCGACAACGGCCGTTCATAATAAGGAGTTCATTAGCGCATTCACTTACTTGGCGAAAGCACGAATATCGATTGAGGAGTTTGAGAGGCGTTGGGAGCATTTGATTAGTCAGCATGGTTTGTCTGCAAATAAGTGGTTGCAGGATTTGTACGCTGACAAAAACTGTGGGCAGAGGCATACTTGAAGGATATTTATTTCGGTGGACTCCAATCAACCTCGCGATGTGAGTCATGTAACCATTGGATAAATGGGTATGTGGGAACTCAATACAGCTTGCAACGTTTTGTTCAGGGCATTGATGAAGCACTGGAGGGGATGCGTTTCACGGAGGTGCAGGATGATTATACTTCTAAGCACACGAGGTTGGTCTGCAAGCATGCCCTTCGCACTTGGGAAATGCAAGCTGAAAGTATCTACACTCATCGTACATTTGCTATCTTCAAGTCTGAACTAGAGAATGAAGCTTCTTATGTATTAGCGGAGAGAAGAACTGAATCAGATGGGACAGAGACATTCATACTGAAGAACTACATGAACCCAGATCGGATAAGGCGGTTAACATTTACTACGTCCAATCAAGATCTAAAATGCGAGTGTGCATTATTTGAATCTAAGGGGTTTCCATGCAGACACATGCTTACAGTAATAAAAAATATGGGATACACCGCACTACCCTCGTCGTGGTTCAAGCTACGATGGACCCAAAATGCGAAGACACTAAATCGTCATCCTGGAGTTGGAGGTGATGTGGGAGAGAAAGTTGGTCGACTGATAAGACATGGAGGATTGGCTCTAAAGTGTAAGCGTTTATGTGACATCGTG